CCCCAAAACCCCAAAACCCCATTAGCCCCATAGTAGTTAAGTTAGGTATAATAATAGTATAGAAATATAAATTATAAACATGAAACATATTTAAGCATTTGTCTCTGCAGCTCTTCTTTTTGGAGTATCATAAGCTGCTAAAGAACTTGAATTTATTGCAGAGATAGGCACTCATGGTCATTCCTACTTTCCATTACAATCAAGATTCAAGCATATGATTTAGACTGATGAACCAATTGAAGACTACACTTACAAAAATATTACTCCTCTAGGTATAAGGCAATAGTATTTGATTGGATAGGAACTAAGAAGAAGATATGTAACAAACTTGACTGCTGGTACTGAAATTGAAGGATATTCTACTCCTTTCCTTAACTATAGTTATCGAATTTAAGAAATGTTCATGAGAACAGCAGGAAACTCCCAAAGCTATATTAGTGCTAACGCCTAGATGATTGGTCTATACCCTCCCGAAACTTGCAACTAGAGACTTACAGAGTGGCAAAAAAAGAATGTAAGACCACCTCTATTCGAGGGAATCTCTGATGAAGAGGTCGAGGCTTTGGGAGACTTCGCTACAAAAGGAGGATTTACTCCTTTTGATATATTCAATCAATACCAAACTGAAGATCAGATGAATGATTATAATGGATTGGGGTGCAAGAGATACAGCTAATTGAGAGAGCTTTCTCATTAATCAGAAGAATTTGAGACAATCAAGAATAATCTTACCTAATAATATCTCTAGTATCTTAGTGATCATACAAGTGAGCCAATAAAAACCTATGATGATGCTCTAGAATTGTGCTAATTTATTTATGATGCTTGGATTGATGGCTATGATTTCAGCAAATTTGAATATGATGATAAGTTGAAGAATGTTTGCCAAAAGTTTATGGAATCTCAGGCATACTACAAACTCTACGCTCACAAAGATCTCAGAATACTAAAGATTTCAGAACTGTCTTAATTACTAACAGCTCGTTTATACGCCTTAGTAGACTAAGAAGAGTTTTAGTCAGACAAAGAATTGGATGCTGAATACAAATGGCTATTAAGCGTACATCAATATCAAATGAAATTCAACAATTTCAATAAGATAATCGAATTTAAAATGTTCATGTTCCTTGGTGAGTCTTGGAATGTCAAGGCTTTCCTTAGCATTGTCAGCGATTAATTTAAATTCGATTTCATATCACCATCTTCATTAATTATCTTAGAGGTTTACGATGAGGAAAGTGAAAATGAATAGGGAGTTAAAGTACAAAAGGCCTCAGTTAAAGTGAAGTATAATGACGAGTTAGTTACCCTAAATGGAAGGTGCTTGGGTAAAACAGAGTGTGATATATTTGATTTTATACAAACACTTAGAGATTAAGGATAAATACTGAGCAAAAATATGAGAGATGTATGTGGTTAAGAGATAAGTAAAAGTGACACGTTTGAATTTGAGAGCCCTTCAGAAATACTCAACTATTTGAACTCATATTGAATTAAACTTATTAAATTAAAAATTAAAATGAAATACTTTTAAATTTTTCTCATATTCCTCATACATTTATCGTATTTGTACGCTAAAGAAGAGTTAAAGCTCGTAATAGAGATTTCAAGGCATGGAGCTAGAGCTCCTGGAAAAATATTTCAGTTTTCAAAAGATCCATAAAAAAATTTTAAACATACTTCTGAACTTACTGCTCTAGGAAAATATCAGCATTTTAAACTTGGTCAGTTTATTAGATAGAGATACATTATTGACTAATAATTCTTGAGTTGAAATTATGACGAGAATGAGATGTATGTATAAACCACATATCTGAACCGCACTTATCTTAGCGCTCTTTACCAGTTAATGGGAGTTTTCCCAGATAACATTCCTCATCATTTGGATTATGAGAAATATTAGATATGTAAGGAAGATTACCTTAGTCTATTCTAAAGAAGATAGATAGACTGCAAAGACAAGTGTCTCTAGCACTTTCTGATACATTAAGTAAACGCCACTCATGATTTCTTATTGCATGTTGATGATGAGAATTGTCCAAGATTTAGTCTAGTAAAAGATATTATGAAAGACTCTGCTCATTACAAAAACATTACTTCTTGGTTTTTAGATAATCTAGGCCCTAGAGTAAGAGATATTACTAAATGGAGCAATATTACAATACCTAAAATATTAGTGAATGTTTGTGGTTATCTGCAATGGGCACACTAAGATAAATTAGAGTTGAACTTTGACTATACTAATGAAGATTTGAAGCACTGCCATGCAGTTGGGGATTCTAAGTTATATTTTAAGAGTTATGGTGCTAATGAGACTTGGATCTTAGGTTCTTTTGAGTTCTTAAAGCAACTTTAAGAGTTCATACATATATTAGATCATAATGAAAAAAGTCAAAATTAGATTTTTTGGCAAAAATACTTTAATATGCATTTCCATTAGAATTTACCAAAAGACAAGGTACCTTTATTCCCTAAATTTATTCATTACGCAGCACATGCTGAGACTCTGTCTCTTTTTACAGAAGGACTAGGCATGCACAGTCCAAAGAGAGCATAGCCAGGTTCCGCATTATTTATTGAGTTTTATAGAGGGGATGATGCTTAAAGTTATGTGAGGTTTTTTATAAAAAACGAAAATGAAGCAGAGTAATTTATCAAACCCTCATGGTAAAAAAATGATAAGGCTACTACTTAAGAATTATATGACTACATTCTCTCAATAATTTATCAAAGAGCTCATGATGAAAATTTTATAGAGAAATAATGTGAAAATTTGAATTATGATATTGAATAGCATTCAATTTATTCACCCGAAAAAGCTCTTAACGAACTGATTCAAGAATACTAACTTTATCCAAACAGTTATTAGTCCTTACATGCATAAAACATTTAGGAGTAAAGAATTAGACATGATTTATGACATTAATTATTTATGGTTTAATTTAGCCAATACACAAGAATACATAATTTCATTTATATTGCTTTAATTTCATAACTTAAATAACAATTTAGCATTTGAAGCAGATGATCTAGGCTAGTATATAATCAATCTATATGGCTATCATTGGTATCAGCAATAAGAAGCATCTCATTCTTGTTGCTTCTCTTCTTCTACTTTTTATAGAGCATCTCCCTCATTGTTTTCTTCTCCATTCTCCTCATCATTGTCTTCCTCTTGCTCTTCATTTGCGTTATCAACTGATTTACTGCGAACCTATTGTTAAACCTAAATGTCCCCGCTACTGCCCATAGTCATCCTCTTTTTATCACCCTTCTTCTTTTTCAGCTTCTAAATCTGCTTTTTATATTGAAGATGGTTCTTGTATTCAGTGTCTAATCTCTTTTTGCTTAATATTGCCTGCTTATCAAAGAGTCGCTTGGCAAAAGCATGGTTTTCTTTCTCTATTCTTTCAGTTTCCTTTTTTCTAAACCCAAGATTTAAACTCTTAGGGCCCACTAATTGAGCTCCAGCTTGCTTTTCCTTCTTAATATGACTCCATTTACCAGCTGATATCTCAACAAGTTTATTAAGCAGCACTTGATTGTCTCTATTTATTTCAAGATTTCTTTCCTAAGTCAAGAAGTCATTTGTTTTCTTCTTCTCTTCTTTGCGACGCTTTAATTCCTCTTCGACTTCTGTTCCCAAACTTAAACCCTTAGTCATTTTTTGAATCTCCTCTAGTTTCCTTTAATGTTTTTTCTTATCACTACGGTTAGATTATGTTAAATAAGTAACTAAGATTACATATCCTACTGGAACTATTTTACCTTGCTAGTTTCAACATATGTTGGAGCTTTCATTTTAATTTATTTTATTATTGAAATTTGGAAATTAAAATAATTCCTGATTTTTAGATTTAAGGGGTTTTGGGGTTTTGGGGTTTTGGGGTTTTGGGG